AGTTTATGAGAATTTGGGGGAAGGGGGTCTTGGATTGTCTTGGTTTAAGAAGACGGTCATTTTAGTGATCATTCTGCACTGTCCCAGAAATTGAACATAATTTTACTTTGCTTTCTTATAATGTGACTCACTTAATCACTTCTTTGATTGAGCTGTGTGGGTGTTGAGGTATAAAAAGATGCTGAGATTTTAAAGTCTTTTTCCTCAGAGAGTTGGTTGAAGAGCACCTGCTTTCACCAAGTTCATACTCATTCTTTTTCTTTTGTCTTTATTATAACTTCTTACAAAACCTCAGTAGATGGGCGGGGGTAGGTACTTGAAAAAATGTGTTGTACTTCTGTTATTTAGACTTTTATACTGTGCCTCTGAAAAGTATTCCCCAAAGTGTTCCACTTCAAAAATGTTAACTCCTTGTTAACTTTGGGGTGGGAGAGAGTCGTGAGATAGGCAGTTTGTGGTTCTTTGTATTTTTCCTTAGAAGGATCACGTTAGGTCTTTTGTTCTATTTATGACCAATTAAAGTGATATGAGTTCTTTTGTAGAAGACAAAGGATTTTTTGAAATTCTGAATCTGACATCTTCAATCCTTGAACAGTAATTGACTTTTTATTTGCTTACTGTAGGAGATAATGAAGTAGAGTAATGAATTGGGGTGCCACTATAGACCAAATGAAGCACATTTCTTTTACTGTCCTTGCATGATGGTGTACCTAGTAGGTTAACCCTACAGGCCTTTCTTTCCGTGTATAAACACATGCCCTTGAAGTCTTTTGACCACAGAGAAAATGTCATTGGCCCATCTTGTTCAGCTACTCAGCTGATCTCACAGAGTAATCTCTTTTTCATTGAAAATTAACATATTCCTGTAGGTTTCCTAACTTTTTATTGCTGTATCATTTACCTCACTCTCCTTGGGATTTTTCTACTTTTAACTCAGAAGGTTAAACAAAGGTTTGACCCCTTGTTCTGTTATTTTAGGTGTAAAATCTGACTTGAAATGATTACAGTGTATTTGAATGATGTGGGAGCCCAAAGACTTCCCCCCTTCTCCCCATGGGAAAATCATTGAATATCTGGATCATCTAATTTCTAGGAAAGTCTTAGTTACTCTTTTAAGTAGATTTGACTATATTTGGCTGTTTGCCTTCCCAGGGGAAGATGATGGCTTTAATTTTTTTTTTCTTTTTTTCTTTTTAGTCTGCACACAGTATTATAAGAAGTAGACATAGATAGGTACCTCAACAGGAACAGTTTGATGATTTTGGATAGTCTTATAATAGGTCTCATTAATCTTTGGTTTTTTTGGTTTTGTTTTCTGTCTGTACTCTGCCGCTCTCCCTAGTATACCTGTAAATTCACCCACTAGAATCTTTTTTTCCATTTTAAAAATGATTCATTGATGTATTTTGTTTCTTAATCATCATAGTTTTCCTCAGTATCCCTCCTCTTCCCAGAGATCCATCCTATAAAACAAATAGTATTTTTTAAAGATCAAAAAAAAAAAAAAGAATAAAGAAAAATCAGTATAACTGATCAATGCCTTGAAAAAGGTCTGAAAACATGTGCAACCTTTGTGGGTCTCTCGCCTTATAAGCAGTGAGGTAGATAGGAAGCGTCTTCTTGACTCTCTCTCTTGAAGACATTCTTGTTCTTTATAATTTTGCAATATTTGCTTTTGACTTTTTAATGGTTTTTAGGTTTACTTCATAGTCATCCCATTGTGTCTTTTGTATTCTTGGCTTCCTTCCCTCTGGTCACTTGATGTAGATCTTTTGTGTGCTTCTCTACCTTCATCACATTTGTTATTTCTTACATGTTAGTCATATTCCTTCACCTTCATGCACCAAGATTTGGTTAGCCCATACCTAATCAGTGAGTGTCTGCTTTGTTTCCAATTCTTTACTGTCACCAAAAATGCTGCTATAAATGTTTTGGTGTATATGAGGACTTCTTATTGGGGGTGTCATTGCAGTATGAGACTAGTAATAGACTCTGTGGGTCAAAGAATATGGATATTTTAGTCATTTTATTTGCATAATTCTAAGTGATTTTCCAAATTGGTTTTACCGATTCACAGCTCCACCAACAATGTACTAGTGCCGGTTGCGCCACAGCTCCTCCAACATTGACTCTTTTCATCTTTGCCAATTTGTGGAGTGTGAGGTCTGAGACCTCAGTGTTATTTTGATGTGCGTATCTCTTAGTGAGTTGGAGCATTCTTTGCTATGGTTGTGAATAGTTTGCAATTCTTTGAGAACTGTTTGTTCACACCTTTTGACCACTGTCTATTGGTATTCCTAGTATCTTAACAGTAACAGCTTTCTTCAGTAATTGTGACCATCCTGAATATCCTCAGTCATTCCTTAGAAACAAAGCCAGGACCTCTTCTGGCCTTGTTTTTTTTGGGCCCAGTGTCTTTAAAAACTTCCCCCATGACCACTTTTGTACAACTCGCCCTCATTTCTTCCCCTCAGTGTTAGCTGTTTCAAAATCAGCACTCTGGATGTCATCCACTTTAATACTTAGTAAGAAGGAGATTCAAAATTTATTTTCACGGTCTATATATAAGCAACATACAGATTCAGAGCCTTGTTCACCTTCCTCTCATTTCAAACATATCAACATAACCATCATTCAGAATACTTTAAAATCCCCACTATGTGGGAAGTAGACAGTGGGGGAGATATGAAGACCTGGTGTGCCAATACAATCACAATACACATTATTGCATGATTTGTCTGTTAGGTCTAAAAGTGGCTTGTGATGAGTCTTATTCAGCTGTGGGGAGTACAGTTGAGGGAGGCCTTGATGGAGAAAGTCCAGTTTGTGTTGGGCTTTAAAGGTAGGGAAAACATTTTATGTGTGTGCATGAGGTAAGACAGGGAGGTGGGAGAAAATAGGACTTCTTTGAGGAAATTTTGGTTAAATTTGACTAGATTAAAGCTATTTATTACTTTTAACTATGGCATTTTTAATTCAGTGCACATTTTTAAAAGTGCCAACTGGGTTACAAAGACAGGTACAAAACAGGCCCTACCTTCACGGAATTTATATTCTTTTTTTGTCCTATTTTATACTATTTTTAAAAAATCAATTTTAGACTCTAACATTCTAGTATACTACCACTTATGCACAGTTGTTGCTGTTCAGTCATTTTGACTGTACTTGACCCCATAGACTTTTTTTTTTGGTGAGGCAATAGGGGTTAAGTAACTTGCCCAGGGTCACAAAGTTAGTAAGTGTTATGTGTGTGAGACTGGATTTGAACTCAGGTCCTCCTGACTCCAAACCCAGAGCTCTGTCACTGCAACCCTAGCTGTTCCAACCCCATAAACTTTTGTCCGTGGAGTTTTCTTAGTAAAGATCCTGGAGTTGTTTTCCATTTCCTTTTCCACTGTGCCCCCATTTAACAAATGAGGCAAATAGAGGTTAAGTGACTTGCCCAGAGTCACACAGCTAATAAGTGTATGAGGCTGTATTTGAAGTCAGATCTTCCTGACTCCAAGCTCAGTATTCTGTCCATTGTACCACCTAGCTGTCCCTGTTTATCCACAGTAGCGTTGCTTTTTTTAAGATGCCATCAGACATCAGGAGAGTGAAAGATAGGATGTTACTGAAATGATCATTGAAATCTTGTTTTATTATTATTTACCATTTTTGTTTATTTTCTGCCGGTCCATTTTCAGAAACATCTATTTCTGGGTCACTTCTTATGAAATTAGTATACATGTCTATATGCATATATTATATGAAACTTATTATGAAATTAGAGAATCCTACAATATTAGAGGAACTTTAGTAATCATTTAGTTTACTACCCTAATTTTAGTGAAGAGGAAACCAAAGTTTCAACAAATTAAGACACTTGCCTTAAGATAAAGATTATTTGGTTAATAGAAGCTAGATGGTGCAATGGATAGAATGCTGGGCCTGGAGCCAGGAAAACTTTAGTTCAAATGTGATTTCAGATGCTTCCTGGCTGTGTGAGCTTGAACAAATCACTTAACCTCTGTTTGCCTCAGTTTCCTCATCTGTAAAATGGGGTTAATAATAGCACCTACTTTGCAGGCTTGTTGTGAGGATCAAGATATTTGTAAAGTGCTTAGCATAGTTTGTAGTGCATAATAGGCACTTAAAAAATCCCTCCCTCTCTTCCCTTCCTTCTTTCCTTCTCTTCTTCTCTCCCAGAATTAGAGTCTAGGTCTCCTGACTCCAGAACAAAGCTTTCCTCCCATAGGTGCTTGAATGGGGATGAGGAGCCTGCTCTTGTGGCAGAGGGCCTTGGTAGCCTGGAGGTGCTGTGTTCTCTGTGTTGACCACTCCCCCAGCGCTGCCCAGACACTGGGACTGAGGAGGTGATGCCTGTGGGTTTGAACAATGCTGTGCAAACCCTCTGTGCCTGGCTGCTCATACTCTTGTGCCAGAATTCCTCTTAGAAAGCAGCTTCAAAAGCTCTTCCTTTCCTTTGTTGAGAACTTTTGGGAAAATTGTAATGAGGCATAAAAAGTCAGGTGTAAATGCATTTTTTAACGTTCCCCCACAGTTTATGAACAGTTCACAAATCACTTAATGCATTAAATTCTATTTTATACTTTAGAATTGTCCTCTGTAGTAGATATTTTGTAATGATTCTGACAAGTAACATGATTATCCCTGCTATTTGTTGAAGAAAGACAACTTTTTATCTTTTTTTTTTTAAACCATATTTTGGCCTTGTATCACATTTAACTTTCAAGGAAAACTAATATCAGTTGGGGAAGGTTCATGACAGTGCCATATAGAAAATATAGGGAAAAAAAGTCATTCCTAATTTCATTTTGGGGGAGTAGGAGATTGGTGATTTCTAATCAAATACCTTTTAAATTTGTCAGAGTGCTAAGTGCCGTGTGGCATGATGTAGACAGGCATGTGTAAGGAAAAGTCCAAGGGCTTTGGTGATAAGTAGTGTGTGTGCTGAACCTGACTGAATTCTATTTTTCTACATCTCTCTCCCACCCTAGTCTTAACTTCAAGGACCCTGAAGCTGTCCGAGCTTTGACTTGCACTCTTTTAAAGGAGGACTTTGGACTTTCCATTGATATCCCATTGGAAAGGCTCATTCCTACAGTTCCACTGCGACTCAACTATATCCACTGGGTGGAAGATCTGATTGGCCCTTGGGATGCAGCCCGGAGTGCCCTCCGCCGAGGGATTGACATTGGTATCTCCTCTTCTCTTCGTTTCTTGTTTGGAGATTTCGAAATATACAGTGTTTCTTTACCAGCTTCTCTGCTCAATATTTGTTAAAGAAATTGACCATTGAGATCTCTCTTTGGTCGGTGACACTTGGGCTTTTCTTACCATTGACTTCACTTGAGCAGCCTCATGAAATTCTATAACAAAAGCCTTGAGAATGAAGATGAGACACTTGGTGGTTCTCTACTTTTTCATTTTCCTTATTGGTTTGAACATTTATTATCTTTTACTATGTTCTTGGGATTTGGATTCACTGAAAAAAGTCCGGTTGGAATTTTAGCTGGTTATGCATTTACCAAAATATTGCCTGGGCCTGTAAAGTAACCTTTCAGGACTTTCTGGATGATTCTTTATATAGAATGTTTAAATTAAAGTAGAACTAGTGAAAATTATAGTACATAAAATAAGCTTTGCTTAATCATTTTATAAGCATTTACATTTCAGAAGACCTCCAGGGTAGATTAGTTTCAGGAAGAAGTAGTAGAGGGAGATAAAGATAAGGTAAATATGTTGACCATTTGTCATCCCCAGCCTATTCCACTAATTTATCTTTTTCTGCTTTAACTTGTTCTGGTCCTTTATAGAAAAGCTTGATTAAAGAACTTTAAAATTCTATTTTCAAATGTAGATTGCTATTGGAAATCAGTCTCTGAAGGGCAAGTGGTTCTTATCTTGTTAACTTTGAAATAAGGTTACATTAAGCCAAATGGATGTGCCACATTCATTATAGGAAGGAGGCTGACTACCTAAATTTGTAGCAGACTTGAAGATCTTGGCCCCTGGGTTTGATTTTAATTATGCCGCAGACCCTCTCAGGACATTGTGAGGGAACACCTGCAGGATGTTTTTTTCAACTATTTTTATAGAACATGTTGTGGGGGCCACTTTGCTGGAATCAGATTTGGTCTAATTAAGTTCCTATAATCTCTGAGGAAAAAGTGAATATAATTATTAAGAGAGGAAATGTAGACTTCAGGCATTTTTTACGTGTTTACCCACCCTCATCAAGCAGAGGTTGCTCTAATTCTGCAGATAGAAACTTGATATTTATTATTTCCTTTCTTTCCCCTTTGTTGCCTCCATTTGTCCCCTCCATAATTCATTTCAACTTTCTGGGATGGATTAGAATATAAAGCTTTAATATTAAGACTCAAGATATCTAATATTATATTTGTCTTTGCATTTGTATTTACTATTGCAGAAACTCCTATATTCGTTTTTTTAGTGGAGGGGAGAAATTATTAAAAAGATGCACATTTAAGGCCGTTTTTGTACTTTATTCCTTAGCCTTTTGGTTTTTTTCTTTGTGAGAACTAAAGTATAAAGGGGCCTTATACAAGCCTTTATGCCTTATTGCTGCTCTGAAGGGATTGGGATTAATGACTGCTAGTCATCTAGACATTTAATACATTTGGCCTGGATTGATTTTTCTGAACCAAAGATCTTATCTTTTCCAATTCTAAATGATTTTAGATTTTTTGGAGTCTGATGGCCACTTGACAAGTTCTCTTTTATTTTTACAAATTATTTCTTTTCCTACAGACATCTAGTAGCCAGACTGGGGAATTAGGTGGTCTTCATTTCACAAAAAGAATATATACGTTGGAAGATATTTGGTTTTATTTGGGGAGTGAAATTTATGTTCATCTGGTTTGTGGTATTTGACCACTGTGGTATTTTAGCAAATACTTTATCATTGATTTCCTTCATGGAAATGAGGTAATGTGTGAAAGTATAGCCCTTTTGTAGATTAACTTAATCTTTTTGAATTTTTAGCTTTTTTAGTCAGCCACCAGGTTATTTATGGAATACCTACTATGCACCCTGAACTGTGAGAGAGGTACAGGCCAGAAAACTGGACTGTAGCCAACTGGATGTGTATACAGTTTTGTTAAGGAAATAAAATTAATGTCTATAGACAATTAAAGAATAAATGACATTTTATTATTATTAAGTGTTGACTTGTATAAGTGCTTTAGAAGTTCAAAGAAGGAAATAATTGTTTTCTCCAGTGATTTTGTGTGTGTGTGTGTGTGTGTCTGTGTTGTATGTATGTTGAATTTTTATTTTGATAGGTACAGGAGCATCTTGCATCTATCCTTTACTTGGAGCAACTCTTAATGGCTGGTATTTCCTTGCAACAGAAGTGGATGATATGTGCTTTAATTATGCTAAGAAAAATGTGGAACAGAATAATTTATCTGATCTCATAAAAGGTATACTCCACAGAACAAATATCCTTTTCTTTTTTTTAAACATCATCATTCAGTGCACCTTGTGTGTACCTTTAGCTTTTGTTCAAAGGTTGATGGAAGTGTTTGGGTTTTGCCAAAGTGCAGGCTTCAGTGACTCCTGTTCCCAGATGCCACCCTGCTCTTTAGCTACCTAGAGAGGGCTATGGAATAATGTGAAGGAGCTTCACCCAGCCCAAGCCCTGTGGCTGTTTGAACTGGCCCTCTTTTTGAGTTTCAGTGACAACTGATTGAGCAACCACAGAGTGCATGGACCTGTGCTAGATTGGGAAGCATAAACCCCTAGAGATGACTGAGGTGTCTTTTTCCTCCTCTGCCTGCTGTATGTGTTAAAGGCTGTTAATATTCTTTTCCTTTTGTTCCAGGGACCTAAAGTCTCTTTTGTATAAACTGAGGGTACTTTTTTTGTAGTGTTAAACATATGATAAGCGGAGACATTAAGCATGTTAATGAATCAATAGTGAGTTAATTGTTGCTCCATGTCTTAAACATCCTGCTTTTTCTGCCAGTGGTTAAAGTACCACAGAAGACACTCCTAATGGATGCTCTTAAAGAGGAATCAGAGATCATTTATGATTTTTGCATGTGCAACCCTCCCTTTTTTGCCAACCAGTTGGAAGCCAAGGTAGAGTATCTGCTGCTCTAGAGAAACTGAATGTTTGTCTGGATTTGCCATATTTGACCGGGTGGGATAGCGGTGAGAACGGTGTTTGTGAGGAAGTGGGTGCATCAGGTGCAGCATTTCACTGTGAAACTTTGTACAGTACACTGCTTTCCCAAGGTTAGTTGCTGGGTAGACAGTGGCGTGTGTACTGACAGATTTGCTGTACTACTGGAAATAGAACTGACTCCTGGGGGCTGGGGACTGGCTGTGGGGGGAGAGCATCTCTGGGTTGTTGTTGTTGCAGAGCTGAAAGAGCACCATAGCAAGACTTCTGATGGTGGCCCAAAACAGCTCAGAGTGCAGAAGTAGAGAGTCACTCTTAATACGCACTGTTTCATATTCTTGTTGAACATAGAGTGTGTAGTGGAGCAGAGAAGCAGCTTTCACCACCTCCTGCTGGACCTGTCACAGTTGGGAACATTGCTAATTTAGTCTTTTCTTCCCCTTGAAAGCAATTTTCCAAGCCAATCGGCTTTGAAAGATGGACAGTAAGAAGGGACACAAAAAAAGCCCCAAAAGTCCACTAATTCAGTTGCTTATCCGATTCTTCTGTCAGATTCTAAATAAAATGAGATACTTGTAAAGTACATTGTGTAGTGCCTGACACATAGTAGGCACTATTCAAATGCTTGCTGCCATTATTATTATTATTATTATTATTATTCTGAAGTAGTAAAATAATAAGCCTGATGAGGTGGAAGGAGGTGAAGATGGTCCTTAAATGGATAATTTAGAAACAAAGAATGTTGCACTTGCAAATCATGCTTATCAATTAATCTGTTGGGACTTCTGTTAGACATCATTATAGTGTGATTTACTGTATGTACTTAGAAAAGAAAAAAATGGAATCTTTAAAAAATCTGTCATTCAGACCAGCTTACCAATAGTTAGTCTGAATTAATGAGATTTTATTTATGAAAATCCAAATGAATATTAGAATGGCTATTTTCAAAAAGATTCACTGAAATTTTTCTGGAAATAGTTGATTTTTAGTCCATTTAGAGAATACGTTTTACCAAAAATTGACTTAAATGTTCCTTATCTAGAATAAAATGATTCATCTTTTCAGGAAAATATGTTGAGGATAGCTATACATTTCAGAAGCATTAATACTGTAGTGATACTTTCCTGAAATATCAGTTGTGAATCCACTGAAAGTTATTGGGACTGAATTAGTAGTAGATTGTAGATGAGTAGATTGTGCCTATCCTAACACTTGTTTTTAAATAGATCCTTGTTGAATTAATTGATGATTGCTAGGTTCATTAAGTTTTTATGATAACAATCAAAAGGTATAGTTTGCCCAGCCAGGTAATATAGTGTGACTGTATTTACTTTTTTGCTCCTTAAGTTAATGCCTAGTAAGGGCATAAGTAAAGAAATATTAAGTAAAGTTAAATGATCTGGGTTAAAAATAGAGGAGTTAACTCAGATGCATTTAACTTATTGCCTTACCTTTGTGTCCATATAGCCCTGCCACAGGGCCTCAAACAAAGTAAGTGCTCAATAAAATATTTATTAAGGGAATGAATGAATGAATGAATTAGAGGGTCACTAACCATTTTATCAGGTTGATCTATCTATCTATCTAATCTGTCTGTTTGTACCTGTGTACCTATATATACACATAGACTTTTTCTGTCCAGACCTTGATTCTATCTGTACGGGGACCTCCCATTGTGGAAGTTCCTTCTACCCATGAAAATAGACAAGTAGTCTATAATTGTTACAGAGAGTGTCTGTACTGAGAAGTTAAAGTGGCTCACCAGTGGTTATACAGTTGATGTGTGCCAGAATCAGAGCTTGAACCCAGAGCTTTATCATCCCTAGGCAATCCCTTTAACTTCTCTAAAACTACTACTACTACTACTACTACTACTACTACTCCTCCTCCTCCTCCTCCTCCTCCTCCTCCTTCTTCTTCTTCTTCTCCTCCTCCTTCTTCTTCTTCTTCTTCATTGGGGTTAAGTGACTTGCCCAGGGTCACACAGCTAGTAAGTGTCAAGTGTTTGATCTGAGGCTGGATTTGAACTCAGGTCCTCCTGACTTCAGGGCCGGTGCTCTATACACTGTGCCACCTAGCTGTCCCATACATAATGCTTCTTGATATAGATACCTCCAAATTCGTCAATTTTCTACTTTACCGTGCTCCCACTGGTATGTTTAAAAAAAAAAGGGCATTTAAAACCAAGAAATCTGAATTTAAAACCTGACTCTGTCACATAAAACCTATGTAACTGTGTGCAAATCATTTCCTCCCTCCTGTTCTTTGGAGATCGTTTCTCTGTCTCTAAAGTGAAGGGTTGACCTAGATGACCCTCAGGGTTCCTTATGGCTTTTGAGCCTGTGTTGAAAAAGGCAAATAAGTTTAATGTGAGGTTTTAGAAAGCTTGCTAATGGAGGGGGATGCTTTGGAGCAAGAATATGTACAAGTACCTAGTTTAGGAGTCTGAAGTACCTTTTTTTTCTCTCTAGGGAGTAAACTCTCGAAATCCTCGTAGGCCTCCCCCAAGTTCTGTAAACACTGGGGGTATCACTGAAATCATGGCAGAAGGAGGTGAATTAGAGTTTGTCAAAAGAATTATCCATGACAGTTTGCAGCTGAAGAAAAGACTGAGGTAAGTGGGTCCTCACTGAATCCAGTTTCCTTCTCTTTCTCTCCAACGATGGCCTGAAAAATAACAAATGGAAAATAAGAACATCTAATGAGACTGCTGCTCCTGGGGGGACTTGTACCTTTAGCCGCTGATCCTGCACGTCCCCAGAGGGGGAAAAGCCCCACGATCATGCTGCTGACACCAGTATTGCACTGCTATGGAGCCAAGCTGATTAAAAGATGGCTTTTGATTAGTAAACAGATGGACTTATCTCTTCCCCATGAGCCAAAATAGATTTGTTGCCCAGTCCTTGAAGCAATTTGTGTTCTTGGAATCGAACTCACAAACGATGACAGATGTGAGGACATTGAGCTGTCAAGAACTTAATGAAGGGAAACTGAGATCCCTCGCCAGTTTCATAGGAGGGTTAAGGAGATCTCTTTTTCTAAGCTAATTATTCAGGACAGCACACCTGTCATTAGGCAGTGAGAAGATATTCACAAAGAACCTTTTGCATTGCTTGGATTCTCGCCCTGCCACATGTGCTTGAAGTGACAGACAGTGTGGGGCTCCCAACACCATGGTATAGCTACAGGGGTGAGGAAGGGAGACCCTTTCCCCATTTTCTTTTAAAAGGTAGTGACGCCCTTTGTTTTCATCACATTCAGTTTGAGCTCTTACCCTCTCTATTGAGTTTGTCCTTGTGACAAAGACTTTGAAAGAAAAAGGAAACAAGAAGGAAAATAAAAACGAGCTAGACTGCCTGCTGCCTGCCTTGGACATCAGTCAGCTCGGTGGGTCCAAACCCACGCCACAACTCCACCTCTTTGAGGAAGGGAAGGAGGGACATGGCCTCAATTCTTGAGGACAAAGCTTTGCTCATTATAGTTACACAGCATCCAGTTTTCTTTCCATTTCCCTTGCACGATCATTGTATGTCATTGCCTGTGATGAAAAGTCTTTCCCTGCTTCTCTGAGTTCTTCATATTTCATTACATTCATACCCTACAGTTGGTTGAGCCATTCTTCAGTCAGTGGGCAGCACCGGGTTTCAGGTTTATTTAAAATGATTTCTGTTCAGGAAGATTAGATTCTGTTCCAGAATCAACACGTAATCTCATTAATTTCTTTAACATGAATTTCATTGAAATCCTCATGTAACATCATAGTAAGTCTATACATAACATGGCCTAGGTGGAAGAAGAGAAGGCTGTTCACAGATAGATTGGGGTTGTTGATGCAAGAAGAACATTAAGTGATATGTTCTGATACTGGGGAGAAACCAGGTAGAGGAAACTAGCAGAACAGTCAGTAAGAGTAAGGGGCTTTGAAACACTGAAACCAGGTCAGCTGAGCCCTTGTTTCTATTTCTGCTCTCTTGTTAGGGGCTTCTAAAGATGCTCGAATTTCAGATCCTCAAGTGAATCTAAGATAGCATTGATTTCCAAGTTCCCCTCAAAGTTACAGCTTACATGCTTGCTCTCCATAGGTCCAGAATCCTGAAGAACAAAGGAGAATGTCATTGTAGAATGCCTGAACCTTATCCCACAGCCCTCAGCCTGCTCTGAGTGTGTAGGCCCTGGTCCTGTAAAGGTTGTTCCCAGGCTGCCACCTCATTCCAGTGTTAGAAACATCACTTTTTTGGGGGGGGGGGGAGTAATAAATGCAAAACCTTAAGAATGCTCATATAACTTCCTGAGAACATCTGAAAGATAGCGCAGAGACTGAATGAAAAGCAGAAATAGATAATTTGGTTATGATTCTGGACCCTGTAGCATCTTTGAAGAGTTTTTCAGAGTGAATTCTATGAAATCCGTTTTATGAGAAGGTGGACACACTTATGTTTGTGAAGCTGACAGCTGGGTTTTCAGTATCTTTGTTTTTATATGCACAAGCAGAGATCAGTGATCTCTATCTAGGTCTCTCCTGGAAGCTTAAAAACAAGGGACCTTGGTGGGCCTAAAATATAGGTAGAAAAGAATGAAAAAGGAAAATAGTGAAGTCAAAGAAGAAGACAAAGAGGGGAAGTTAAAGTTAGATCTGTATGATGGTGGGGACTGCGGGAGCCCCAGCAGCAGCAGCTTCACACCCCACATGCCAAAGCCCTTTTAAATCAAGAAAGTTCTAGGAGACTCATCAGAAAAACCCTTGATTTTTGTGTTTTTGGGGTTTTTTTTGGGTTTTGCTTTTGCTTTTTGGTGAGGCAATCGGGGTTAAGTGACTTGCCCAGGGTCACATAGCTACTAAGTGTCAAATGTCTGAGGTCGGATTTGAACTCAGGTCCTCCTGACTCCAAGACCAGAGCTCTAATCACTGCACAACCTAGCTGCCCCTAAAACCCTTAGTTTTTAAAGGACTGGTAGGAAAACTGCTTTTCTTTTTGTACCTCAGTTGCCTTACTTCTAACGATTGTAGATATCGTAGTATCTTCCTCACAGGGCAGTTGTAATGTGAGTCAAATTAGATGCCGTATGAGAAGACTTCATAAATACAGAAGCACTTGTATGTCATATTTGAAGGTTTACAAAATGCTGTCCTCCCAGTGGTATAGTAGGGACAGTAGCATGAACGTCCAGATCTAAAACCTACAACTTCATCGGTGAGGGTCAGAAACGACTAAACCTCCCAGAGGAACTTAGAGGTTCTACCAACATGTTTGAGAAGTAGTTCAGGGCTCATGCAGTTTGGCCATCCTAAGTACTTGACTGGAAACATTTCACAGCTTCAGTTGTCCAGTTCTGTTTAGAGAGGAGCAGGTTTCATCCTCCTAGTCATGGGGAAGGACTGAGACGAAATGCCCCTGTCCTGCAGAGACCAGGAGGCCAGGCTCCGGAGCTGGAGCCAATGCATGGTCACACACAGCCTGCCTGACGCTGTGGATGGATCGGATCCCAGGGCTGTTTAGCCTTTTTGTTCCAGTCGGGGCAGTGGCACTCATCTTCCATAGAGATCTTTTTGGCAAGATGACTGTTTTTGGGTCATCTTCCCCACTGATCAGATCCTGATTGTGCCTCTCACTGCCTGGGTGGCTTTGGGCAAGTAAAGTAGCTTCTCTGGATCTTGGCTTCCTCATTACCAAAAGTACCAGGCAGTAAGGTGACCCCTAAAGCCTTTCCAGCTCTAGGGCTGTGACCTGAGGAAGTGAAATACCCCCCCTTTCTTGGGAAGTGGTCTTGTCTGTGCTCCTGATACTCTAGAAGGCATTGCCTAGTTGAACTCCAGCAGCCTTTTTGGGTGATCCTGCTTGGAACCAAATCAACCAGTCAATCAGCAAACATTTATTGAGGGCTTACCATGTCCTAGGAGCTATGTTAAATGCTGGGGCTACAAAATAAAAGCAAAAATGGTCTCTACTTTCAAGGAACTTGTGTTCTAATGAGGGAGACTACATGTGCATGTTGGGATAACTAGGTGGCACCATGGATAGAGCACTGGGCTCAGGAAGACCTGAGTTCAAGTGTGACCTCAGACCCTTACTGGCTGTGTGACCCTGGGCAAGTTACTTAGCATCAGTTTCCTCATCTGTAAAATGGGGATGAAAACAGTCCCTAACTCTAAGGGTTATTGTGAGGAACGAGTGAGATAATAATCGTGAAGTCCTTCGTCTAGTGTCTGGCACGTAGTTTGAGTTGTAAAAATGTTAGCACATCTATACATGTGGATATACATACTGCTGCTTACTTGCGGCTGCTTGTCCTTCATTCTCAAAGAGGACCATGACGTTGGGGAGGTGATGCCATGACGTACAAGTGAATTGGATTTAAGTGAGGCAGGGCTGTGCAAGGTCACCAGCCTCACTTTCTCCTCTGGAGCCATCTGGGTCCAGTGGCCAGACATAGATCAGGATGACTGGAGATGGCCTGATGCAAATGGCCACCTTGGCCTTTTCAGGCTAAGGTCTTTAACAGGTCTCAGTTTGACTGAGGCTGCACGCATTCAGTGATTAAGGCTTAATTAAAAAATGAGGCAAAAAATGTCCTCTGAAAAAAAAAAAAGATCTGGGAGTGGAAGATACTCAGAGTTTCTGGCCAAAACAGAAAAAATTGTTATTTATATTCATTCTTAGCCAGTCAGGGCCCAAACAATGACCAAGTAGGGCTTGCTCTGGGACCAGAGTGACTTGGGGTTAAGGCTGGTTTTTAAGAGAAAACAAAACAAAACAGAAAGTTTCGGAGATTAAAATTTACATTCCCTTTGGGTAGAGCACCGGCAGCTAAGGGTATGATACTCTATGTGGAAACAGAAGAAAGGAAAGGAAAGGAAAGAGAAAGAAAGCTGTGTATATATGTATATACATCTCCATATAAGTAAAAAGAAGGAATCTTTAGAGAAGACACTAGTAATTTTTTTTTGTAGGGGGTCATGTGACATGGTGGGGAGGTTTTCCTGAAGTCCTTGAGGAAGTGTTGAAGGAAGCCATAGGTCTGAGAGGTAGAGGTGAAGGATGTGCCTATTCTAGGCATAGGACATGAGAAGATAGAGGAATAAAAAGTAGACTGGTATGGCTTGACCATAGAGTGATGTGTAAGAGGGCTGGAAAGACAGGAAGCCCAACCGAGGACACAGTTTGGTCCTCATTATATTTGGTCCTAGAGGAGATAGAGAGCCAGTGAACTTGATTAAGGAGTGACTTGTTTGGCCTTGCACTTTAGGAAAATCTCTGTGGCAGTTGTGTGGAGGATGGATTTGAAGCAAGGAGACAAATAAAGTCAGAATATGGTGGAATGAGCATCCAGAATATGTGTGTTTACTTCCTTCTCAATTATATCCATGTACTTCTGTGCTAAAAATTATGTTTTAAAAAAACACACAAATAGAAATTAAAGAAGGTAAGATAAAGATGAAATAATATCTGCTCTTAGAGCCAATGGGAACTGCTGAATTTTATTGAAGGAAGCTGAAAGGGGGTGGTGGTGGAGGGATGGGAAGATGAAGGTATCCAGAGTAGAGGGCAATGTAGAGAAAGTCTGATAAGAGTCAGGAGTTCATGAAGGATTTTCTCCTTAAAATGAGAGATTCTGGGAGTAAGTGGCCAGCTAGAGGAAGAGAGGTTGCAGCAGTGGAAAGTACTTCTAGGTCCTTAAGTAGAGTGGGGTTTCCAGGCATTGTAGAGAATGTCTGGGTGAGTGGAAGGATAGTAGTCCTCTGACAATAATAAGGAAGTTTGGGAGGCATCTTTGGGGGGAAAAGATAATCAGATCTCTGATCATCACAGCCCATGGGTGTGATTCACTCTCCCCCCCAAAATGGTATGAAGTAGAGTTCTTTGTCACTCATCATTGCCCAATAGTGCATTGACCATGTCCACAAAAAATGTCTCCTTGTGCAGTGTGAGCCCCATCCCATGCTCAGGCAGCAGGCTTCATTAGCAGTCTAGAATCATGGTTGGTTAGTACATTGGCCAGCATTCTTAAGTCTTTCAAAGTGGTCTTTACAGTGTTATTCTTACTGTCTTGTCTTTTCTTTCTTTCTTTCTTTCTTTCTTTCTTTCTTTCTTTCTTTCTCTCTCTCTCTCTCTCTCTCTCTCTCTCTCTCTCTCTCTCTCTCT